CTCACAAGGTCACATTCCCAGGGGGTCAGAAAAACGAAAGCATCAGTTTGTCCTTATGTCTCTCTCCTACAGTTTTATTCTTGGTGGACTAAAACATGGCTCACAAACAGCTATAAATGTGTTTTATTTATATCTGACTAACAGTTTTCTAAAGGCAGCAATCCAAACAACTTTGTTTTTACAGTCCGATTTTTTGTTCCCCATGCTCTGCCCGTTCGGCAGGACCCGAGAATCAGTAGAAACTTGGACTTATTCCCACTGGTTTACTATGAATCACTTGACAGTTGTGCACATTACATAGAATTCTACACACTGAGCTGACTGTCCCCCGCCTTCTTTTACCTGTTTCCTGTCGGGTGTCAGGTGCTGGAACGTCACTCACTACTTCCATCGACCTCCCTGGATGACAGTGCTGCCATCTGTAAAAACAGTGGTTTCACATTGTTATTTTCAAAGTCATCATAGGCCGTGTTTAAATCTGCATATTGGTGAGCATCGTTAATCATTAATATCTATGGTAGTCAATTCTTCAGTTAGGTCAAAGACGAAAATTTGAAAATAAGAAATAACTTCCTTATTACTTTTAGCATTTCCATTTCAGGTGTGTGTGCAGATGCACAGATCCCTAATCTCTAGAAAAGTCATTGTTGGTCCAAGACAATACAGAGTAAATTATGTACGAATGATTGCAGATCACAGGCTAAATATCTAGTGTCCCCAGGGTCCAAAATTTTGCTAAACATTTTTTTCTAAGATTTAATGTTCTCCAAGCCAACTCATTCGCAGCTCCAAAAGCCTCAAGCCATTTCCTCCACCATCTTGTGGCCACTGTCGTAAAATCTACTCTGCCTCTCCCTATGTCACCTGCCAGGGCTGTTTTGTTCCATGGCCTAGAGGCAGAGCTATTTTTCCAGCTTGTTTAAGTGCAGGCAGGGCCTCCTGTTTCCAGAAGATCAATGGAAATGAGTGGTTCTCTTTGTTATTTGGTATATGGGGCCACCATTTGGGTCACTTGGGGAACATGTTGTCTTCACAAGTCATCGGGCGCTCCTAAATGCAATAAATCTTGTCTCACTACATGACACTAATCCCCACCCGTGCATCGTAGTCCCCAAAACTGCACTTTCTGAGTGGGATCTTCAACGTTGCTGAGATTCATTGCCTAACCACGTATTATTCAGTCTTTCCTAGTCTATCCCTCCGCATTTTTTTCGTGATTTTGCTCCTATCCAAATAGGATCTGTGAAATGAAACACAAGGAGGGGGCCCATGCCAAGAATTTGTGACACTCAACTCTGACAGCTGGCAGTGGGGACACTCTCTGGAGGAAAGTCTCCAGATGCTTCTTGACCTGACCCTTCAGGAAGTAGAAAGCCCAGTGCTGTCATTGCTCCTTATCATCTTAGTCATCATCTTAGTCATCATCTTAGTTATCATCTTAGTTATCATCTTAGTCATCATCTGGACTCCAAGTTTTTAACATAGTATAAGGAAAATTAGTCATTAAACAAATACATAGGAGATATTGTATGTAAGCCTTTCCTAACCATAAATTCAGAAGAATATTAGTATCACTGCTTCAGATGCGAGGGAACCCTTACCCTGGCCCATCCTGACCTGAGGGCAGAACTGTTTAAGGGAAGAATGGGCATCTCCCAACATCTCTCATCCCTTTAAGCCCACACTGACTTGGAGGGTGTCCACTGTGAGGGCAGCTCCAAGGTCAAGGCTGGGGCTCTGGGGCAGAGCCTCATGGTCGCATCTTCCTCCCCTTGAAAGGGGTGCTTCCTAGCAGTAGAAACCAACCCTGGGGGCCGGCCCCATGGCCGAGTGGTTAAGTTCGCGCACTCCTCTTCGGCAGCCCAGGGTTTCGCCTGTTCGGATCCTGGGAGTGGACATGGCACCACTCGTCAGGCCACACTGAGGCAGCATCCCACATAGCACAACCAGAAGCACAACCTACAACTCGAATATACAACTATGTACTGGGGGACTCTGGGGAGAAGAAGAAGGTAAAAAAGAAGATTGGCAACAGATGTTAGCTCAGGTGCCAATCTTTAAAAGAAAAAAATGAAACCAACCCTGCTCCATCCTTGGCAGGTGCACAGGCTCCCTGGGGGGTGAGTCACTCTCCCCTCCTCACTGCTCAGCTTGGGCTGCTCCTTAGGAGCTGGATGATGCTGGCTGCATTCCTCAGTTTCCCTTGCTTCTTCTGAACTCACTTTGTCTTATTCTCATTTTCTTTGGCTACCGCCTGCCACGCCAGGAGCTGGCCCTTCTTTGGCACTTCATTCTCATCCTCCAAACCTGCTACTTTCCCTCTTCCATCTGCTCCCTCAGCTCTGTTCCCAGTGTGTGGGCTCGGCTCAGGCTCCTGCAGGAGCCACGCAGAGAAGGAACTGGGGAGCCACGGTTCAAGTTTTCCGGGCCTCCTTCGTGGTTATCAGTTGCTCCTTTGCATGGCGGCCTTTTCTTCCATATGAACCTCCTGCCCTCTCAAGTCTCTCTGAGGAGACGAACTCAGCTGGTAATGTCATTTCATGCTTCTCTCATGGTTGGCTGCTCTTGCGTACATCTTGGTATTTCTCTTTTACAAATATATGATGATCCTTGATTGATCACCAATATTTTTTAATAAAAAGCATATTGGTTGTTATTGTAGGTAGTTGATTGATTATTATAAGTAGTTGGCACAGTTACTTTTTGTGGTTTGGAAGGACAGTGGACCCACGAGACCCGTCACTGGGTGGAGACTGACTCTGCATTTCTGGGTGTGAGGGGTCAGAGACGGCTTCTTTTGGGATGTGTGGACAGTTCAGCTCGTACCCTCGTAACCATCCACGTGCGGAGCACTTTCCCTCAGGAGGAGAATCTCCTCAGTGGATGTCTCTCCTGGCGGAGCTGCCTTTCCTTCGCCCCCTCCAGGTTGCACGTGGAGGCCCTGAGTCACCCCAGGCTTTGTGCTAACGACCACACGGGAGGTGTCTCCAGGCTGGGCTTCCACCTGCTGATGGAGTGCTTCATTTGTCTCTCCAAGGGACAAACGCTGCACCAGCCGCTCCCTAGACCTGGGGTTGGCGGTGGGGGAGGCCCCTGAGCAGGAGATTTCACAAAGTGGCTACTAATTCCTTGATCCCCCAAAGTACACTCAGGCCCCTCCCTAGATCCGCTGAAACTGAATCTGCATTTTAACAAGAACCCCTGGTGACTCAGAAGCACACCGATGTCTGAGAAGTGTGGCCCCCCAACCATCCTTGTTTGTGCCCCTGAAGCTCCTGCCCTCCACCCCTGCGGCCTCCAGCCTGGACTCTCTGGGGCTCCACTGGGAGGGGTGATCCACATCCTCTCAGCTCTCTCCTGGGCGTGCGTCAACCCGTCCCTCACTCTGATCCACTTTCCCCTGGTGGTATGTGAGTATTTCCTACTTATGAAATAGTGTAGTAGACACCCAGATGCCCATCGTCCAGCTTAGAATTAAAACGTCACAAACAGAATGGAAACCCTCATGGCCACTCACCTGACTTTCGTCATCATCAGCTCCGAGCACAGCATGGCAGGGCCACGGCAGCCCTGCAGCCCCTGGGCCCACTCTGGTGGGACTCTGTTGTGGTGTCAGCACAGACCCAATGGCACCCTTAGTTGACGTGGGGCCTGAGACAGTATGGGATGGCCTGGGAGGGGGAAGTTCTTGGAACTAAACTCGCCCACTTGGAAGGGCTAGAACAGATGAGGAAATGTCCACCGGGGTGCTAAGACATTCTAGCCACTGGTTTTAATGAATGGAAACTGGGATAGTGCCGGAGTGGGGGCGAACAGCATTCAGTCAGACACACATCAGTGAGACTGCCTTGTGAGCCCGGAGGAGCTTCTAGAGATCAAAGAGACGGAGAGGCAGGGAAATGGCATCGAGAACGTCCATCAGCAGGAAGAAGGCCCTTCCACAAGGCAGGAACCAGAGCCTGGACAAGAAGTGACAAGAGCAGGGCTGGCTCTGAGTCCTGGAGATCACATACTCCTTGGAAGGAAACAGGTGCGAGGGGAGATGGGTCCTCAGGCACAGGGAGCAGAGTTTCACGTGCTAGAATTTGGGATCAAGATGTGGCTTAGGTCTCAGAAACAAAGATGAGCTTGGGCCAGACCAATTATAAGAATGAAGATATGGATTCTTAGAGACTGGAGCTACAGAAATTCTTCCTGCTGACACTTGGAACTGGTCCTTGACTTAACTGATCAAGGTCAAGGGGCCTCAGCTGGGGAGGAGGGTGGGCGGGGAAAGGAGAGGGGAGGGGAGGTAGAAGCTGGGAACCGGCTGGGATCCGACACCATCACTTGACCTCAGAGAGGCTTCCAGTTTTCAGCATTTGGGAACAAGCCCACATATCCAAAATCCTACACAAAATGATAAAGATTATTATCTCCTCCCCCGGCCCAACCCTCCTCTTCCCCTACCGCCATTTGCCGTGTAACAAATACCCCAGAAAGCCAAGAAGACCTCGTTCCATTCCGGGAAATCATTTTGAGCCCCTTCTGTGTGCCAGGCTCCATGCTGGGAATCATGACTTCAGAGAGGAGTGACCATTCAGAGAGTCAGACACACAGATCCACCCTTTAGTCAGCGTGGAAAGGGCTGTGCTGGAGGAGATCCTCGGCTGCATGGCTGAGTAGAGCGGGGCAGCAGAAGGGAGGATAAGGGAAGACCCAACATGGCGGGTTCCACGAGCCATAAGCACTCAGCTGCTTCTGGAGCACGACCCAAGGTAAGTGTGAAGTGGCCAGAGACCATGGCTTTGGGATCTGGGCTCAAACCCTACCTCTGGCCATACCAATGGTGTGACCTTGAGCATGCTACTCACTCTCTGTAAACCTCAGTCTCCTCCTCTGATCATTGAGAGATCCAGAAAAAAAGATGCTAAGAATACATTTCTTACTTTGTATAAAGTCCATACTCCCAAGAGGTTGGGGATAAGGAGGAATAAAGGGCAACTCAAGAAGAACGGGTATGGAAGCCGGTCACTGAAATTGCTTAACATTTATTCTTTTAAGATTAGTAAGTTGTAAGTCTCATGAGATACGTACACTAAGAATTGGAATTGATTAGACTCCACAGTAGGAAAGGATTGAACTATTTCCTCTTCTTGTTCCAAGTTTCCTCCAAAAGTAGTAGTTATTTTATTTTATTTTTTGTCCTTGCATAGATATATTTAGCAGGACCTATGACATGTGACTTCTCTGACAAACTCTGTATTATGTTTATGATCAACATTCATGGCCCCCTTACATAATGAGGTGTAGTCAATTACCAGTTAGCCACCAATGGCTGATGGATGAGGAGACCATCTCAACAGCCTCCCCAAGGTAGGAAATTACACTGATTTGTTTCTCTTTGGCTTTGTAGATTTTATATATATATATATATACTTGCAAATGAAAAAATTCTGATTATCTGTGAATTCTGAAGAGTTCAATAAACATGATGAAAAAAATGCTGTGAAGACACAACCTAGGAGGAGCCTAACAATTATTTGGCTTCCCTTTCATGACTTCCTAGTCAGACGTTTTCTCTTCTTCGACTCAACATTGAAGATAGACAGCATCTCCTCATCCCAGTGGGTAAAAATACTAACTACTGAGGTAAACTAGAAATAACATTCTGCTGAGTCAAGACATGGCTGGAATTTAGGCCAGCATTTCCATTCACCACTTTGGACAACTGATTCTCTGCAACCAGGCATTGACTGCAATAGCTTCTCTACCGGCCGAGGTCAGTGTTTAATGGTGATGGTTTTGCTTTCAGTGAAGAATTCATAAGAGTCTTTGGCTCCTTCTCTACCTACCCCAGAACTCTTCATCCCCCCGAAAGGGAGGTTCAGCTCTCTGATGAGCCAGCAGTTGGTCCAAACCAAGCCGGACTGCAACTTCTTGGCCACCCGGTGGACACGCCCCACATTGCTTGACCACACGGTCGCAGCCAGCCCATACTGAACACTGTTGGCTCTTTTAACCACTTCCTCTTCGCTATCAAAGGGGACGACACACGTCACTGGACCAAATATCTCTTCCTTCATGCAGCGGGACTCATCCTTGATGTCTGTTATCACTGTGGGAAGCATGAAGTAGCCCGCCCGGTTCCCAGGGGGAAGACTCAGCCGGTCCACGCCCTCACCACACAGAATCCGGGCCCCTTCAGCACGGGCTATCTTGACGTATCTTCTGACCTGGGAGGATAAAAGCCACGATTAGCAACGTCTTACCATTTGGCTTCACACAAAGCAGCAGAAAATTCAATGTTTTTCAATCATCTAAGCAAAATGTAGAAGGTCCTTACTAAGAAATCTCAGGTTGGTTATCTGATCGCTCAGCTCCTGAGCCTGAGGGCGGAGGGCTCTGACCATCACTCGGGCATTCAGCCTTCATCCATGGTTTATTTAATGTCTAAATCCCAGACACTTGGATAGGGTTTCTCATACATTCTCACTTCATTCTCTCAAAACACTACTAGCTCTGTGTTATACTCTATTTGCTGATGACTTAATTGTTCCCCAGGAAGGGTAAAGGGTCCATGGAACTAATCAACAGGAAAGCTAGAACTCACACTCAGCCGTAGTCAGGGTTTAAATACAAGAAAGAATATTTTCTCACTTTTGAGGGGACTATGTACATGGCAGAAAATGAGAAATTGAACGGTGTATAAGATTTAATTAAAGGCCAGGATGCCCTTCACTAGCCAGGCTTCCAGAACAAATAGTTTCTAATTTCTAGTCTCATTACTGATTATAATCTGAAAATATTTCTAGGTAATATAGGGTAGCTAACTATAACGGGAAATAAATTATATAATAAGTTAGCTCAGTGACTTACAGATAACAACAGATGTTTATTAATAACGGTCCTAGAAATGACTCATTATAACAACGATATACACATTTTTATATGGAAATGTTGTTGAAGTCACAATGATACATTCTTCTGGCCCTGAGGCGTATTATAAGCATAGGAGAAGTAGAAAAGTCATCTCAAAAATGGGAAGTTTAGAACAGCAGTCAAGGCGCACATCAGAGGCAGGGTAAATCTTGAAACAATGTTTTGCATCCCCACTTTATCTATCTGAGCATCTGCCCCAGCACTAGACCAGGACTCCGTTGCAGAAGTGTATTCAATGTGGAGCTATATGTCTGCCATGTAAAAATGAAAGGTAACGTTGTTTTATTCTTAATTTTGCTTCAGTTTGTAGAGCACTTAATAAGCCATGAAGTCAAAGACTTTTTACAAATAGAGCATTTGGCACGGCTCTACAGTCCCTTCGTTCCACCTCTTCCCCCGACTCGCACGGTGACCTCAAAGCTTCCTGCAAAAGCCTAGTCCAGTTTGTGGGTAGAAACTGTAACAGCTCTGGACTTCTCTTTCCCCTACTCTCCTCCTCTTTTGGAAGTGACCCTCCCAGATTAATCAGAAGATGCCAAAGGTGGCGTCCCCTATGAGCAGGGGACGTGAAGGCAGAGGTTTCCGGAGGCCCCTGGTGGGCACAGCACCAGATCTGTCAGTGACCCCAGCAGTGCTCGAGTGCTCTGGCTCAGACTGTCACATCTAAACAGAACCACGTAACCCTGCCTTAGATGCCTTTGGGGTAATAAAATACGAAAGGAAATGTCGGTATTCAAACTGGGAACTTACCAAATATTCCATGTATGAGGTGACTCACACCAACTGAATTTATTTTCTAGAGAAAGTATCTCTAGATGATAGAAGGACATCTACGCCAGCAGCTCAGAAACTGAGGTTATCAACAAAATGTGAAAAAAGGCCAACCTTGTGACTGGTAATATGCTATCAAATATAATGAGTTATTACTATGAAACTTTTTCGAGAGGAGAGAGCAGAGGGTAGTTAGTACTTAGTACCTCTGCCTGTGAAATCAGGCCGTAGAGGTTAGAAGGGAGGGCCAGGGAGCCCACCTCAGTTCCTCCACTTAGCAGCTGAGGGATTGTCAATGCTCTGTGCCTCAGTTTCCTCATCTGAAAGTAGGATGAACACTGCCACTTATTCATATGATTAAATAAAATAATACATGAAAAATATTTAGCATAGCACCTGGTACATAGTAAGTCTCCGGGCATCATCTGCTGGCAGTGAAGGTGATGACATGTAATGCCTGATCTGACACTTACGAGCGGGGGACGTCAGAGACCCCCAGTCTGCATGTCAGGGGCAGGTAGGGTTTACCTGACACAAGAGCATAGGAAACTGGGAAAGGGGACCTTCTGTGGGCCTGAAGCCCGGCCCTATTAGAAGCGGTGCCCAGGAACTTCCTCTGTGCTTCCCAGCCTCTGTGTACACACGAGAATTCTCTCTGTATTCCGCGATTTGGGGGAAGGTCGGCATGTAGCCAGATTCTCCAGACAGCCAAGTGGGGAAGGATTCGGGAGAGTAAAAAGAAAGAGAAAAGCACCCTGTGAACTAAGCAGGGGAGCCCGCCCTTCATTCCTCGAGGACAGAATCACCTCAGTTTACTGTGCGTCCCCCACAGTCACTCAAACCTGGAAGTCCCACGTCCCCTTGGGAGCATGCTGTATCTCCACCTGCTCCTGAGCCCTCTGCCACTACAAAACAACCTGTACCTGTTCTAGTTGGATTCTCCTGTCACTGCCTCGCCATCTGTTGTGACAATCACACAGAAGTAAGATGGACACAAAGACTCCATTTGGCTCGGAGAAGACGTAGACACCGCAGAAGAGGAGAGCGGAACGCAAAGACGGCATCCAGACCTTCCTTGGTGGGCAGCCACAGAGCTTTCTAGTGAGATATGAGGAGAGGTGGCCGCCAGCAGAGCGTGTCCACTGCCTCCTTGATCCCAGATGGTTTGGCGCACTGGACCTAGAAAGGTCACACTCTGAAAAGGCCACACTGCCCTAGCTGCTCCCATTTGCTCTCGCTCCAAGGGCTTCCTCACAGCAACTGAGCTAGAAGTCCCCGACGGGGGTCCTCCCGGGTGGAGACTGAGAGGGGGAGGCCCCCCTCTGGGTGCACGTGCTCTGGGTGGAGCAGCGAGGGCGGCAGATGTCCAGGCACCCTCCGAGCCTCAGCAGGATGGTTCTGCGGCTTTCCGTGGGGGAGGAAATGCGAGCAGAGCTGGGAGGGATCCAGCATATAGGACCACAAAGCAAGGGAAACCCCACAGCTTCCTATGCAATGGGGTAATGGAAATACCGTCTTTATTGCTCTTCCCTGGAAAAATAAAAGTAAAATAAATTGGCCAATGATAAAAAAAACTATTTTTAAGTTTTTAACCCTGTACACAAAATCTCTCCCCTTAGAAGCAGTAGGCTCTCGGAGCTTTCTGGGATGAGGGCAAAGTAATTAGCTGTATTTCATTTTAATAAGGAAAGTGGCTGAAAAATGGTTTTCTCTCAGCATCAAATAGAAAATCCAGATAAGCTGACTGAAAATTCCACAGTTGTTAATAGTCACGAGCTCGTGCTGGTTTCTTAGTGTGGACAATGGCCGCGTGGGAATGGAAGATGTTAACAAAAAGGCGGACCAGTGAGTGGGTATAGAAACTCTCTGCCTTATCGCGAAGATTTTTCTATAAATCTTGTTATTCCAAAATAGAAAGTTTATTTTTTTAAAAAAAATATTTGAGATGGAAAATGTACAATGGTAAAAATATGGGAGCTTTGAAAACTTCTGTTTGAAAGATATTAAATATGTGCTGATGTTTAGATGTGTTCAGAAAAAATTGACAACCGTAAGTTTCGTCATTTCAGAGTCACCTGTGGCAGCTAAGTCTGCTGCGTTGAAATGATATTAAGATAACACAACCAACATGTTAAATAGATGCTTGTTTTGGGGGCATAATTTGTTTGGTAGAAGATGGCATTTTGGAACTGAGATGTTAGAGAGAGGCTGACACCGTGCCTGAAACCTTGCCAGTGTTTCAAGTCTTAAAAAAAATCAAGTATCCTCTGTGGTTTTGATCTATTAGGAATCGTGGCTTTTGTCCACAGCTCCTGCAGCTACAATGCTAGAAATAGTGGGAAAGGATAGCTTCTCTCATTTCCACTTTCCCTAGGAAAAGATGGGGTGGTAAAGATATAGTCTAAAAGATGGGGTGATGTCAGTGCTAAGTTGAGGCAAATTTGTTACTTTGGGAGGTAGAAGGGACAGGAGCTCTGACACGGAAATCTCCCTGGGAGGTGCTGAGGTCAAGCCCAGCACAGCACTCTAGGTCGCTCCTTCCCTGGGTGCAGAGCTTGGACACAGCCAAGACGAGGGAGTGAGGAGGACACCAGGCTCCCCTACGTATCTTAGTCTGGACTCAGATGAGGACTTGCTCACTCGGTGAAACCCACATGGGGAGCTGAGTTTTGGCAGAAGGAGTCAGGCCTGGAGGTGGGACCACCCAGAACCTTCAGGTGGGGCGTTCCTCCTGCCTGTATGCAGGTGCTGGGAGCGCACGCACATGCTCAAGGAGGCCTGGGCGCCCACCTGCCTCCCACACATTCTCAGTCTGCAGCAGGTCAGCCCCTGGGATCCACCAGGACGCCCCCTGCCTGCCTGGGGACCAGTGTCCTTGGACTCCAGCCACCAACCTACTGAAAAGGAGGTAATTTGGGTCTTCTCCATGGAATTATTCAAAGATGCAAAGTTTAGGCTGTATATTTTACTCAAGAGAAAAATTTGGCCATCTTACATTGATATATTCTGATATGGCAACCAACTAAATTCTCTGCTCATTTTAGGAATAATTAAAACTACTGGGAATCACCAAAAACAAAAATGAAACACAAGTTTGATAATTTGGAGGGAAGCCGAGTGCAAGGTGAATAAGACGTTTTGAACTAAAATGTATTATAATTGAAAAATTTTGGTACCTTTTTATAAGTTGGTTCTTGAGAAAGCAAGAACATTGGGAAAATGTGGACCTGCAGAAACTGCTCCACATGCGTATTTATAGTAATGCTGTAAAAATCTCAAATGAATTTTCATAATGTGAGCATATTTTTTGAAATTCTTTGTTGGCAATTAAAAAGTTGGATTTGTATGATTTTGAGGTACTGAACACCCATATTTAGCCAAAGATTTTTTTTTTTTTTTGAGGAAGATTAGCCCTGAACTAACTACTGCCAATCCTCCTCTTTTTGCTGAGGAAGAATGGCCCTGAGCTAACATCCATGCCCATCTTCCTCTGCTTTATATGTGGGACCCCTGCCACAGTATGGCTTTTGCCAAGCGGTGCCATGTCCACACCCGGGATCTGAACCGACGAACCCCAGGCTGCCAAGAAGTGGAATGTGCAAACTTAACCGCTATGCCACCGGGCCAGCCCCTAGCCAAAGATTTTTAACAAAGAAGAATTCACTACCTAAGCCTCCTGTGACATCAGCCAAGAAAAAACAATGAAAAGACAGTGAGTTAGAGGAGAATCTTAAGCAAAATCTGAAAGGCTTGTATGTGTCCACAGTCCCTTTATCGCTGCGATGACTCAGTGGTCAGTGATCGAGATGCTCCCTGCTCAAGCTCAAAGTTCAGGGAAAGTGGACACCTCCAGTTCGGGGGTCATGCTGCAAGTGGAGCACGTGATGGAGCGTTGACCCCACCACCGGCCCGGCAGACACCTCACCTGCTCTGTTCTGGGCACTTTTCTAGGATCTAAGGACCCAGCAGTGAATAAAGCTGACATTCTAGTCAAGGGAAGATAGCCAGTCAAGGAATAAACAATACGTATTCTATGTCAGATGGAGGAAAATGAAGCAGCCAAGAGCTAGAGGAGGGTCTGGGGCTGTGATTTTAAATAGGGTAAGGAGGACAGCCCTCCTTCAGACAGCGACATCTGACCTCGGCCACGCAAGTGTCTGAAGGAAGAGCCTTTGGGTGGGGGGTGGGTGTGGGCAGCAAGCACAGAGACTGAGAAGAAGGAGTGGGCTGCTGTTTTCGAGGAAGAAGAGGGAAGCCAGTGTGCAGCAGTGGAACGAAGGAGGGGAGGGGACAGGGTACCAGGGGACGGGGTACCAGGGGACGGGGTACCAGGGGACAGGGTACCAGGGGACGGTCTCAATGGGTGGCATCCATTCTCACACACACAAAATACAGCTTGTGTGTGCGTATGCAGGTGTGCACGGGGCTACAGATTGTTCAACTGATGCAGAAAAGCCAAATACTTTTATTTGCTTCACTGATAGATCTCCCCTCCTGGGGTAAAGTTAGTGGTCATTATGGCCTACGATACCAAAGTAGTTTCTCTGCTGAGTGATACAGAGAGAACTTTGGGTCTCAGGGGAGTGGCGCCCTGCGGAGGGGACCTCAGACTGCGCCATAGCCCGGCCCGCTGGAAGATGCTTCTGGGGGGCTGGCTTTCACTCCACAGGAAACCTTCGGGAACGAGCTGAAGTTGTTTTCACCTGCTATTTGCATGTCTGGGTGGGTAGGCCTGGAGCCCTGGTGTCCAGAACAGCCGGACAAAAGAGAGGACAAGGGAAGCTCCTGGATCAGGTGACTTCTTTCTCCATGAGGGTGGGAACATCCTCAACTGTGGGTCCCCAGGGGCACTCTGGGGACTGCTGCCTCTGTGCCTGCAACCCTGCAGGTGAATTTGACTAGATAATAACACAGCCATGCTGGCCAGCCCCGCAGTAAGTAAATGACCTCAGAGTCCAGGGAATCCCGGGAGCTGACCTCCGGGGCCATTCTCTCTCCTGATCTCCTGCGAGACCATTTCCAGCATTCTCTTCCCTCCTGAAACCTTCAACACCTCCCCCCCTGCTCACCCTGCTTCCTACTTCACTGAGAAACCAGAAGAAGTAAGATGAGACCATCAAGTGTCGCTTGAGCATCTCTGCTTCACAATATTTGAAGATCAAAGTTAAAATTTAGTAAATCTGCCAAATCTATGAATGTCAGCGATTTCTCCAAACTTGTGAAGGCTCTGTCCCTCACGGGCTAACTGAGGGGGGCGCATTTCCCTTGGCAGGCCTTAGTTACCACAGCTGAAAACAAGGTCCTTCTAGCTCCAAAAGTCTATGACTTATTTTGGAAGTCACATCAGATAATAAATTAAAATGACCTTAAAGACGTAAATTTCATAAACCACTCGGAGGCTGACAATGGTCTGTCCCATGTAGGCCACCACTAGTCACCCCATCAAGGACCACAAAATTTGGATGGCGCATGCAGGCACTTCTGGAGTCCCATCTGCTGTAAGCCAGAGGCAGGACCCCTTCCACTGGGAACATTTACCTGCGGAAAGTCCTGCCACCCTTAGTCCACATCGTTCTTATTAACGGACCTTTATGCTTTGGAATTTGCCTTCCCTGCTCTCCTGGTGGTACCTCCATGTTGACCTCCCAAGTTCATCCATTTCTGTAGATGCTACTTTAACCTGGACGACGTTTGTATGCTCATATCTAGCATTTTTAGACTCTGTATCCAGAGACAATTCCCCACAGGTCATAATGTTTTCAAAAATAGGGTGGTGGTAATTAACAACGTTTCGAAGCCCAGATGTGCTGTGCCTTCACTGAGCCTCTCTCCCAATCAGAGCTCTTTCTGTAACTTACGTTGCAGAGATGGACTTACTTTCTCCAAATGAGCTTTACTGATGAGAGCTCCCATGCTGGCCGATGGATCAGCGGGACTGCCAACCTTCCACATTCTGGTAGCTTCTACAAACTTCTTTAAAAATTCACTGTAGATGCTCTTCTGGACAAAGATCCTGCTGGTACAGAGGCAGATTTCACCCTGCCAAGAATGACACGTGAGTACGATGACAAGACTGGAGGACACGCTCCTTCACGGAGAGGTCACCTCGCATTTCGAGCACCTGCCATGTCCTGGGTACTGGTCCAGGCAGTGGAGACGTGGTAAACAAGACAACCCCCCACCATATGGAACACACAGTCTTGTGAGGAATATAGACAATAAATAGTACAAGTAAATAAATTCGGTGTATAATATAACTTCAGGTCATGACCGAAGCAATACTAGGAAATTAAGCAGAGGATGGGAAGAGAAACAAATGGAGAGGCAGCTTTTACTGCCTTTTGTTAAAGGGAGCCCTGGAAGGCATGTGAAGAGGGTGCATTTGAACCCACACTTGATTGACGTGAAGGGGCTGGATAAGCGAAGCTAGAGGAGGGAACTCTCAGCAGTAAGTGCAGAGGCCCAGCTGCAGGAAGGAGCTTGGAGTGTGCTGGGGAGGCAAGAAGGCAAGTGGGGCTGAGGTGGGAGAGGGGGAAGGAGACGGGGAGGAGGCAGGGGGCAAGGCAGCAGCACGCAGAGTCTCACAGGCTCACGAGGAGCGTGCATTTTACTCAGTGTCATGAAAAGACCATGGAAGGCTTTAGCATCAGAATGATGCGATGGGGTTTACATGTTTAAACGATTGTCCTGGCAGCTGTGTGGAGAACAGAATGGAAGGGAATGAGATGGGAGCAGGGCGACTTCAGAGAGCATTCCGGAAGTCCAGATAAGTGGAGGCAGCCTGGACCAGGGTGGCAGCTGGAGATGAGAGAGATGGAGTCCACTGATGCTGACAGACCTTTAAAGGGCGGTGGGCCCCTGGAAGTGTCAGGACACTGGCATGGATGCCCCAGAGAAGTGACAGGACTCAGGGTACATTTTAAGGATGGAACCAACAGGACCTGATGGAGTAGAGGGGCTTCAGGAAGAGAAGAACAAGGATGCGTCCCGGACTTTTAACCTGAGCCTCAGAGCACATCGTAGCTCTTCCCTGGAAAGGCAAACACGGGGCAGGGAGGGGAGCGGTATCGCAGGGAAAGGACAGGGAGAGGAACGCAGAGGCTAAGATTCAGAGGCTAATAGACAACCAGACAGAGACCCTGGCTCCAGAGAGAGGAGCTAACAGGCTCCTGAGGGAAACTCATCCTTATTATCATGCAAATATGGCCTGTAATAGTTTAGAAACCACGTTCCAGACATGTCAAAGCATTACGTAAATGTGGTAAGTACATATATGCAGAAATAAATGTTTTCATCACATTTATATTTGGTCTTCCAAGCCTAAGAAACAGAATGCTTCTAGTTATTTTGATATTTGGACAAAGGTCATTGTCCAAATTAAACAGTCAATGTTTTGAAATAACGAATTCTTTCTGCAACCCAGGAGCACCGTCAGAACCATCTGCACGTGTGGCTTGGAACGTCTCTGAACCCACGAGTGCCCTGTGCCACGTGGGGAGGGAAGTCTTGGTAAAGAGACTGGAGGACTTTACTGAGCCTCCTGGTTACTCAGTGCCGGGAAGGCAAACCAGGATCTCCAGGAGGATGGCTAAGAGGAAATGAGAAAAGGACAATGTCATTTACTGAGTGCCTGCTGTACGCCAGGCACCATCCAGCGTGCTGTCCTCGTAATAATTCTGTGGTGTATTAGTTTTCCCAGTTTACTGTCAGGACATGGGGTTTTGAGTAAATACAAACCCAAGGCCACACAGCACAGCAAGTGTCAACCTCGGTCTGTGAGATGCTGAAGTCCACCTTCATTTCTTCCATGTCGCACAGCATCTCTAAGTGTGAGAGTGCTCTGAGCCCAAGGAGACCAGGTACCACAGAGATCCCCTGAAAAGCCAGTGATGGTCAATGAAGGAAGCAGCATGCACTACATCGCACTTAGCAACATAAAAAGAAGTCAGCTACTTGGTTATTTTGCCTAAAATTCACTTGTGGTCTTGGGTTAGCCAGTCAGTGAGGTTTAGGTCCTCTTTGCCGCTGGCGTCTTTAAACAGCCCAGGCGGGAGGCTCTCTGGGCGATCGCAGACCCTTGCACGGTTCTGGTCGTCAGGAAGCTCACAGCCCATCCTCACGCTCGGAATCCGTTCACTTCCATACGAAGAGTTCAACTAACGTCCTCTCATCTCAGTTTCCCAGTCCAGTTTGTCCCTCTCTTGTCATCACTAAGCCATCAAAACACTTGATTTAATTGTTCATTTTGATATTTATTTTTAACGATTAAATTACTTGTTCCATAAAATTGCCTTAAGTCTATTGATCCAGAAACTTCGTATATTTCTAAGCCACTTTCCCTAGAAATTATGGTGAGAAAAATAATTACAATTAGAATCATGAAAAGAATCATTATAAAGAGTGTTTTTCATTCTACACTCTCAAAAATCCTATTGGAGGGCATTATCATTGCCTCCGTGATTTTACAGGTAGAGAAATAAAAGTTCAAAAGCTTATGCAACTTATCCAAGTTAGGGAAATAAAGATCTCTCTCATTCCACTCCTTTTGCCTCCTGTGGAAGTTCTCACTCTTTGGCTTCAGTCTTTGTTCTGTGCTAAAGTTTTTTAAAAGCATACCTTTTGGAGACAAGCTATGATCCTAGGCACTGTGCAAAAGCGGGCGCAGCTGCCATCTTCACAGAGACTATGGCTTAGTGTATCTGACCCAGGATCCTTAATCCTTTGGGGCTGCGGCCTTCAAGAGTCTGATGAAAACTCTGGGCCCCAGAAACACATCTGTTGCACAGCTTCAGGAGATGCAAAGTTGCCCTAAGCTCTTCCATCACTGCAAGCTGGGCAGCCTGCTCTGGACTGGTTCCGGCATTTTTCTAAGCACGTAAGTACATTTGGATACTTCGCAGGGAGAGTAAGGTTCGCTGGAGACAGGACATTTAGGCAGCAAGAAGAGACTGAGGGCAACTCTATGAATAAAGGGAGGGAGAAGCTTGGAGAAGCAAAAGCTGGATCACATTGTCCATGGCTGGTATTTGATAAAAGTTGTGTAACTCAGAAAAGAAGACAAGCTTGCCGAACAGAAGCTGTGACCCTCCAAGGCCACCGACTGACCCTGATATTGAGCAGACAGTCGGTGGAATAGCACAGTGCAACGATTCTCCTTTCCCTGAAACAGCCCCGCATTGACCTTCTCACCCAGAGCTTTGCACTGTAATGAAGCAGATCCAGCCTGACAGGACCATGGAGTTAAAAAAGCAAACAAAAGCCCCCAAGGACATACCTGGTTGGCAAAGCTGGACCTGACGGTTGTTGGAACACACTCCTCCAGGTTGGCATCCTCAAAGATGATGGCAGGGTTCTTGCCCCCCAGCTCCAGGGAGAGCTTCTTGCAGTGGGGGGCACTCAGCTGTGTGATGCGCTCGGCCGTGGGCTGGCTCCCAGTGAAGGAGATGACAGGCACCTCCGGATGCGACACCAGGGCCTCGCCCACCCTGGGCCCGGTTCCAAACACAATATTGACCACACCTGGGGGAACACCTGGAGGGAAACAGTGGCAGTTACAGTAAGCCTCCTCCGGGAGTTGAGGACTTCATGTTACGGGGAGATTCTCCTTGAAGGTCCAATGGCTTGAATGGGGGTGCGAATGAACTTTTACGGCTGCCTCTCCTTTACTAACAAAGCAGATAAAACAGTGTCATCTCTGCTAGTGTACACCAGAGGTGGGATTTCTCAGGGGGCTTTTCCCTGAAGAAATGGGGGGTAGAACATTCTAGATAATTCACTCCATAATATTGACTAGGCCTCAGGGGCTGGGGATGCAGAAACATCCTCAAGCAGGTCAAGCCCAGTGGGAAGGAGAGCCCTGCTCAGGGTTGGCATCCAGGAGGCACAATTCAGCATGACAGTGCTCTGTAGAGGGCAGCATAAATGTTGCAGAAGCCAGAGAAGAGACTGGCTATGCCAGCCCAGGGAGTGAGGGAGGGCACCCCCGGGAGGGGAGTTTTGAGTCTGAGGTCCTGCCCCCCATGATATGGACGCACCATCACACCCTAGGACTGACTTAAAGTACACAGGACACCCCAAAATATGTGCCCCAGGCTTTCCCATCACAAGACCCTATTGCCCTGTATCTGCACGTGTTTGTTTATGTGTTTTATGGATTTGCTTGTTTATTGCCTGTGACCACTGGGAGATACACCGATGGAGGCAGAAATGGTGTCCAGGTTTTGTTCTCCATTGTATCGCCTGTGCCACGGCCCCGTTTGCTCACAGTTGTTGAGTGCTTGCTGTGGTCCCGTCATTGTCCTAAGTGGTTCACATTCTTCAGATCTCTCAACAGTATTATTATCCTCGCTTCACCGATGAGAAGCCCGAGCCCAGTGAGGTTAAATAAAAACCAGTAAGCGGCAAAACTGGTCATAGCAGGTTAATAAACAACGGTTAAGTAAATGAGTGAATGAACGCTTAATGTGCATTATCCAAGTCAGAAATGGTTCTGGAGAGAAGATCCACGTGCAGTTTGTTGCGTCCGGGACGCTCTCGGGTTTGCCCGGAGGCAGCTGAGTTATTCTGCTCTGTTTCCTCAGGCTCGAAGGACAGTGGGGGCGGGAATCCTGCAGGCTGCAAGGTCTTTGAACTACTTCTCCGCTCCTGGCGTCTGTCCTTTATTCCAGGTCACATTCTCTCCTCAGTACAAACACTGTCTTGGATTAAGAGCCTCTCTTCAAGATTACACTTTTAAAGTATAAATAATAATTTCACACTGAAGATCCATTATCCTCCGGAACATCTTCCCCCGGAGCCAGAGCCTTAGCCTGGTCCCTTGAGGGGACAACCGAGGCCCCCTTCAGGTGAGCCTCTGGAGACAGGTAGGAAGGGGAATGACTCATGATGGCATCTGGCAGAGCTCACCTCCAGTGGCCCCCTCTACACTCAACATGCACATTTGCTACAATCCAGCTCAGGGCAGTCCTGGACCACAGGTCCCGGCCACAGGAGGGCAGGCCCCGGCCCAGGCTCCCTGTGAGAGCAGCTGGGTCTTGGGTTGGGGCACAGAAGAGGCTGGGGGAGAGGCCCCCCGAGAGGTCGATGGGAGGAAAACAAGGTCACGTTTCCCCCATTAGCCGGATGGGGCCCTGCTTCTCCATCGAAGACCAGAGATGTAGATATCTTCCCAATATTTGATGGGGGTCGGGGACAGGAAAACGTAGAAACACCGCGTATGTATGAACACGGAAAATGAGCTCCTCTCAGCAGCTGGCGGCGTCTCGTAACACAGCCGCGTGAATGCTGTGATTGCGTTTCCTCAAGCGCCAATGTTAATACGCTACGAGCTGTCTACCGGCCATGATTTCTCAGCACCATTTGCCATTGATCCAGACATTAGTGAAACTCTTCTAGAGACATCTGCCCTCTACCCTTCAAGAAGAATTTTAACCTTAAACAGAGCAGAGCACAAACTAATAGGAAGGGCCCGAAAATTGCCATCAGGGGACATTCCAGGAATGAGCGCAAACATCTGGTGCCTCCAAGAAGCAAGCGAATATTCTAGAACTCCCAAAGAGGTATTCACTGTGCACTTTTTTAAATGACTTTATTTCGGAGAAAGGTCGTTTGTCAAGTCTGTTTGAACACTCAGGATGGAGGAGCTGGCTCTTCAAAGGTCCCGAGCGTGTCAGCGGGTTGTTCGAGCTCTTTTCCTTACACTAAGTTCCTCTTACAGAGGCTTCTCTGCAGCAGGATAACAGGGACGTGATCCATGCCTCCTCCCAACCCCAGCGGAGAAGCTGAGAGCTGGAGACAGGTGCAATTTGAGCACGACACTCTCAGTGTCTGTCAGAGGAGGAAAGTTTGGCAAAGCCGGCCTAGGGAGGGAAGGGGGAAAGGACCGTCTGGGTACAATGAGCTTATTCGTTCACAAGAAATAAGGCCAACACTGTGCAAATAAAGGAAAACGTCACGCTCTCATGCAGACCAGGCTCTGGGGTGTATGAAAGGAGAGAGTGGAGGAAAGAGGAAGCATCATAGGTCAAGATGCGGTTGATTTGGGGAAGAGAATGATCTCTGGACCACAGCTCTTTGTCACTCTCCTCTCCGCCACCTGCGCCCTCCTCACCTCTGCCTGCGCCCTCCGCTCCTCCAGCTGCACTCTCCCCACCTCCGCCTGCGTCCTCCGCTCCTCCAGCTGCGCTCTCCCCACCTCCGCCTGCGTCCTCCGCTCCTCCAGCTGCGCCCTCCTCACCTCTGCCTGCGCCCTCCGCTCCTCCAGCTGCGCCCTCCTCACCTCTGCCTGCGCCCTCCGCTCCTCCAGCTGCGCTCTCCCCACCTCCGCCTGCGTCCTCCCCAACACAGGATCAAAGCAGAGCGTGGGCCCCAATTCTAGCCCACTCCGGAGCACCTGCAATCACCAGGCAGGACAGAAATGCCTCAGAACTTCGCAGACACTAGAGATTCAGTTTTGCCAAGAACGGGATTAAACGCGGTCCCTCTTGTAGAGGAGGGATGACATGCGGGGAGAGGAGAGACGCAGCACATCACATCACACACCCGCAGAGGCCCAGGACATCCGCAGGCGTCGTCGCGAAGCCCTAGGCTGGAGGCCTCGTTCCTCTGTAGGATTCGAGGGAAATGGGCAGCTACACGAGGGCCACGAGGCCCACTGTTCTTCCCTAAACAGGCCTGGTTTCCCCTGTGTCTAAATCCTGGTGCAAGAACTGGTTTAGCTTTCCCGGAAGCTCGCGCCGACGTTTTTGCTCAGAGACGAGAGGAATCCAGGAGAGAGACAGACTCCCAGGCCGCCGCCCTGCAGGTCTGCGCGAGCCCAGTGGCACGGTCGCCCTGGGCCTGAAGGAGGCGAGCACCACAGAGACTCCAGGGCCATGAAGACAGCCTGTCCCGCCAGCCACCGCCACTCCCAGGCCGTGCGGAGCCACCAGTGGGGGACCCGACCGCAAGGGGCTTTCTCGCGGGTTACAAGCTAGGGCCTCCCGCCTGTTCCCTTACAGCTCTGGGGCGGCGTCAAGCTGAACATCCGAGAACTAAAGCAGGATCGCAGCCTGCAGGTGGCCACTAAACGGTTAGCAGAAAGAGGACAAGCGTCGTGTTGTATCAGGGTCCCAGGAGTGGCTCCAAATGCAGGGGAAACTGGGATGTGTATTCAAACCTCTTGAAAATGGGCTATTCCTATCAAGTATTCCATAGCTATCCAAAACAGAGAAGTACCGAGTGATGTTCTTATTTTCATAAAGATTAGCTTGTGGTTCAACCCTAGGACTTAAGTGACAATTGAAGACACCCTGGAGCAGGCTGGCGTCTGAACTCACCGGGCTCGTTCAGCCTGTGGGTGCATTATGTCAGGCGTTCACTCTACTGCAGGTGGACACCACCCCGCCAACCCAGGAGGAGCTGTCCTGCAGAAGCCCCGCCAGGGTTGAAGAGAGGAAGCAGGTGAGCGAGCCCTGTGGATGAAGGGGTTTCCCAAAAAAGGACCGGGGAGACAGAACCAAAGATGTCACTGGAATCTGTTTGCTGTTGAGCAGATTTCTCTCCAAAATAGCTTGTCAGATGTCAGTGACTCTAAGGTGGCTGAAGCCTACAAAACATACAGCCCCAGAGCTAATCCTGTGTGTCCCCCAAGCCCTAGCGCCTGAGTACCTGCTTTCTGCAGGAGCTGGCACAGCATCCACGCCGTCACGGAAGTCAGCTCGCTGGGCTTGGCTATCACGGTGTTGCCAGCAGCGATGGCGGGAGCGATCTTCCAGGTCAGCAAGTACAGTGGTAGATTCCAGGGACTGATCAGACCAGCTGAGGAGAGAACAGAGCGTCGCCAACAGTGACGTGCCCATCACAGCCAGCTGACCAGACGGGGCTTCTGTATGAGAACTCCCGCGTGCTCCATGAAACTGAAGCTTACTCTCCGAGACCCCCAAACTGTGCTTATTTGTAGCCAACTTCAGGGAAATAATTCTAAACTGTGTTACAAGAAACTGTACCTGTAAATACTATAGTCAATATGGTTGACTCTTTTCTTGATGACTTACAATTATATTTATGAGCAACAGCAATGTAAGTTCCAGGGCAAATGGGCGGTCACCTGTCACTCAACGGTACCAGAACGTGATCAGTTTTGAGATTTACAGACTGATCTGTACATTTGTTTAAACGTCTCCTTCCTCATCATGAAACTGTCCAGCTACTAATTCTTCAGGGTTTCTCCGTCTCTATGTCTTGCGTGTTGTGAATTGAGACACAAAATCTCAAGCTGTTTAGAATTATTTGTAAAATAAGGGCAGATCATTTCAGAGACAGTAAAAGCCATGTCAGCCAGCCAGAGTGTCTTTAATAAGAAACTGCTCACTCGTATCCTGAGCGGACGGGTTTGCTGGGGAGGTAACAGAGCCAACATCTAGAGCCTCCCCATGGAAAATTCTGAAACCGCCCAGCTTCCAACCTCAGGGCATGCAAAAACAAATCTACCTCGTGAATCAGTAAACGGACTCACCCGTTTATACTCTGCCCTCAAGCCTGTGCTGTGAAAGTAAACGTATTTTATGTGATTAAATTCCCCATTGGAAAATCTGTTCTTTAAGGGATAACAGAATATTTTTGCTGCATGATATATTAGCAGGCTTCTTAGAGGGAGCTTTGAGCTTTTCATAATGGCTTGAAAATACCATTTCCTAAGGGTTCAAATCATCAAAGTTGTAAAAGTCCCATTTTCTTTCCTTTTATCTTACATTCTTTTATCCTGTCATAAAATGTAACTCATAAAATATGGAGGGTTGGGGTTTTTTCCTCAGTGGACACAGTGACATCTGGTGGACATTGTGAGTCATTGCAGACATCTGTGTGCCCTCCAAAGGCAGGAGTCAGACATGAGGGGCGGAGGGAAGTGAGTCAAGGCCTATGTGCCAGCACCTGCACTGCTCTAAGTGCCCTACACTTGTTAATTTATTTAATTCACGTAAAAATATGTAAAGATAAAATAGAACTATTCTCCCAGTTTTTCAGAGAAGAATACTGAAGCACAGAAAGGTTATGTAACTTGCCCACACATATCCAAAATCCATGCTCTTAACCCCCGCACGCTCTGGAAATAGACTCTTTATCTTTAATTACGGGGGGGAAAAATCCTGGTTTGTGAATGTACTCTCAGCATCACTCTTTTCCCTGTGATTTCCCAAGAACCATGTCCCAGGAATAAGTAGGGAATTTGACACAAAGAAAATAAACTAGAAATCGATTTTTTAAGGCCAATTATATTTCAGCCAAAGCAGAAGAAATCAGCTCCTTCCTTTTCTTCGGCCTGTTCCTTTGGATCAATTCTACAGAATAGACCAAGCATCTCTCTGTACCCTTGTGGCCCAGGCTCTCACTGACAGCACCTACCGATGCCCACAGGCTCCCTCACGGTGTAGTGCAGACAGCCCGCGTGGTCCATCTGCGTGCACTGTGACGTGTGGTGCAGGATGGAGGAGGCAAAGAACCGGAAGTTCTGCACAGACCGGGGAATGTCCATGGTTCTTGCCAGGGTTATGGTTTTCCCTGTAGGAAGCCAACAACAGAGTCTCTGTCAGTGCACTTCACCGTGGACAGCGGACACTTTCCCTCACACACGTATCCCAACCCCCACCGAAGCAGCCTCGGTCCCTTCCAGCCTGGCACGGGCATTCCTTGACCACAAAGAGCCTCGATCATGGCTTGATAAAATTATGAAATAATTCGGTATGAGGTTATAGGATGGAGGAGGGATAAAGTTGAGCCAAATAATCTTTGTTTGTGAACTGCACAATTTATATAAATTCACCAGATGCTACCACTTCACCCAGACCAGCTCTTTCAAGTCAAAATCCCCAAGCTTTGCACATGCTACAAAGTGGGTGGAATAATGGCTATTAAGACAGCTGCATCTGCTCGTCCCAAAAAACCACTTTGCTAAACATGTGATGTATATTAAATGTCCCCCGACATGTGGTGGAGTCCTGGAGATGGACATGTGGTGGGACCACCGAAGGGTCCCCTGGCGCAGGATGCTGTGTGGCACTCGCTCACCCGTCACATGCCCTGTGCCTGTCTTAGATCCTGAATTGAATAAGAGGAGAACCGTGAGCTGACCTGGGCTGCTCCTCGGTTCTCTCTGAGACTCAGGGAGACCCTGCAGCGTCTGGAGCACCCAGAGGAAGTGTTTTCTTCGTAAGCTTTCTGAGTCAGGCTGCTTCCTGACTTCAGCACGGTTCACAGCATGCACGTAATTCTAAAAGATCTTGGTTTTTCCTAACAGATATTATTGCAAAGATTAGCAGACATTTACTCCATCACCCAGCTGTCTGGGAAGGAGTTCAAAAATTGGGGAAGCGTGCTGGGGGTGGAACAGTGACTGACATATCAGACATCTTTCTAAATACCTTGACTGTGTCACCAACCGCTTTTCAAGTGCCTCTGCTTTGAAGCTCTCTGCTTGGAATTAGTGATGGATGGCGTGACCAGCCCGGGTTCCCCCTCTGTCCCCACATGGCTGCCCTTTGCCACACATCCTTGCACTTCTTTCCACCAAACGGTGAAATTATTTGAGTGTATTTATTTCCCTGCCCCTTGAACTTGGGCTCAGCCGTGGTTTGCTGTGGCCACCAGAATGAGGCAGAAATGTGCCAGTTGCCACTGCTTTCCACCTCTACCGCTGCCATGAGAAGCACGTGTGCCGGATCCCGATGGCCCCAGGCGGGGGACACGAGGAAAGCGTCCTGAGTCCCATCCATTACAGTTAAGGGGCAGGAGGTCACTGAGGACCTGGGCTGAGGGGATGACTGCCCGGCGTCTGCGTCACGTCCCACCCTGTCCACCGGCCAGCGGCTCTGGGGGTGGCTGCTCACCTTGGTCTCGGGACTCGGCCACCGCAAACTCCTCCAGCGACTGTTCCAGCAGGTCCGCCAGCCGCAGCAGCACCTGTGAGCGCTCCTGGGGGCTGTGGGCCGACCAGCCAGGGAAGGCTGCTCTGGCGGCGGCCACTGCCGCGGCGACCTGCAGGACACACGGGGACAGTCCCCAGATGCGGGATGAGTCCAGAGGCCCCAGGGCCCTACGTGTCCGATGTTTCCGCCCAATTTCAAACACTCACGGCTCCCAGAGCTGAGTCCCCACAAAGCGGTGTTTATGTGATGGGGGAAGCAGGAATACCACAGAAACAAACAGAAATGCACCCTTTCCATGAAGGCGTCCAGAATGCGCACTTCATCAGAAAGAAGCCATGTGAACTTATCGGATACACATTTTCAATCATTGTCAAATATAGAATTTTTTTGAATATCCTATGAGAGGAAACTCAGTCCGGGTGTGTAGTTTCTAAGCTCTTAAACCAGTTCTGACAGATCCGATAAAGTCTAACATTTTATTCGAAATCACATCCAGACTCTCACTCCCACTTAGAGTCACTAATCGTGTTAGTTATTTATTGACTAAGTTTTATATATAAAGCAACATGCTAAACGCTTTACACAAATTATTTCATTAAACCCCTTTTAAAATCCTGTGACACGAGGACTGCTGTGCCCGTTTCACAGATGAGGGAACTGAAGCACAAGGGCTCAGGTACCTTGCCAGAGTTCACACAGCTAATAAGCAGCAGAATCAGGATTCAAACTCAGATCTTTGTGCCTCCCACGATCACAAGCTGGCCCGCTATGGCGTAACCGTGGTCGCCGCCCCCTGCCTGGCTCTGCCCAATGGAAGAGGCCTCTGTTGGAGAGGAGGGCACCCGCAGTTGAACAGACAGCCTGGGGACCTAGTTTTGGAGCTAAATCCGAAAGGAAACAATATATGGGAAGATGAGGGCAAGGCCAGTTCCCGCGGAATGAATTCTCAGGTCGCCTGCGGCCTTTCTCCCCGTAGTCAACGTCGAAGCCGTGCCTTTTCCAGAGACGCCAAACCTGTGACCTGCATCTTCCCCTCCCTGCTCCCTGCATGATGACGGTTTATAACCACTCACAGCCCCTTCCCCACGGCCCCGGCTCAGCCTCAGAGTCCCTTTCCAAAGGCTCCAGCAGCCACAGCAGCTTTCCAGTCTCGTGTGACCCAACAAAGCCCCAGAGTCCGTGCTCCGTGCTCCGCCCTAAATCCGATCCGCACTCCTTGTTTCCCTTATGTGAACAGTCACCTTAGCCGAGCTGAAGGGAAGAATAAAATTATTCTCATCGCAATTACAAATTTCTTGGAAGATGGTGGTTTCGCCTCACACACTCAGTCTCCCTTGTGGACCTGAGACAGGATGGAGGGGAGGAGGTGTGGCAGCGGCAACCACCGCTAGCGCAGCCTCGCAGAAGCCCTCCTGCCGGCCAGCGGGAGGAGGCCTCCTTCTCACAGCATCTCTGAAACACCTGAGCTCTGAGATCCAGTCCAGTCATATTTCCTAAAACGCCTTATGTCCATTACTATGGAATACGTACTAATCTACTATATGCAATAATATCAGCAAAAGCGAGTACTTAGAAAGCATTTACTGTGTGACAGACACCAAGAGCTTTACACACATCCGTCTGTCTGATCTTGAGAACAACACTCTGCACTAGGTGCTGCTATTGTCCCCATTTTGCAGATGAGGAGACGGAGGCCCCAGAGGTCCATCTCTGAGCCAGGCCCACGGAGAACAGGTGGTGCAGCTGGTCTCTGAAGCCGGGCGGGCTGCAGGACTGTGATGCAGATGCTCCCACTAATGTGTGTGTGTGGGGGGGTGGGGGGGGCGGTGACCTAAGCATCAGAGAGGAGAGTGTTTGCACACTGTCACCTGTAAAATAAGGATGGAGTTTGGGTCTGATTTTAGGTCGTTAACGGCTCATTTTGGGACCATTCACGTTAAAGGGCTCGGGAATGCAAAGCACATGTCGAAAGCTGAATGAAGGGGAGCCGCTGTCAGCAGCCCTGCTAGCACACTTTGTAAGTGATTTTTGGGGAAATTGGGCATGTAGTTCATATGGTGACCATATTTTTCAAGCCAGAAAAAAACCTGGGATTTATGGGATCAGACAGAATATTTGCAAGTTGGATTGCTGGAAAATCCAGAATCCCTATTCCTCTGCCAGCAGGTGCATCCGTGCCTCGTTCCGTTCTCTGGAAAAAGAGGAGCCATTAGCTGCAGAAAACATTTCAACTGCATTTGGCATATTATTTGCCATGTTAACTCCACTTTGGAAAACCCTCTGAGACCAGGAGGGCTGGAACACACAAAGCTGTTGTCCCGCATCGATCCCAGGTCGTTCGGAGCAAACAGAATTACAGGTTACAGTGTAACCAACAAATTAGCCAATATTTGCAAACTTTAATCCACAAGTCTAAAGGTTTTTTTTAATGCAAGACAGATTTAAAATACTAACAACAGGGAAATAATAGCTTAGTTCTTAAAAAAATTGCATATAATGCTTATTAAATATGAAGGCTACAATTATCTTTTAAATAATCTAGTTCTTTGTGTCTTAAGAAATAATTAAAACCTATAGGCATTAGGTGAGCACACAGACATCAGCCACACGTATCACGACCCTGACCTATTTTCATTCTCAGCGTAATAATTGATAACTAATCAAGTGTATCTCAACATTTTACAAAGTTCCTCAAATAAAACCAATTGTACGTCACTAAGAATTTTTTTAATGTGTGTGCCATTAAGCACTTTGAGTAAGAAAAAGGATGGTGTGCAATTTCACTCCAAAAATACATGGGATTTTGATTTAGGGTTTTGTCATTCAGATCATCAGTTTTACTTTACCAGATTTTTGACAACACGATGAATTTTATCAGAGGATAATCTAAAATCAATCCCTGGGTTTTTAAATTTTGTTTGTTCTAGTGAAGATACACGTTTTTTTAGAAGTTCATGAAGACAGCGGGAAATTTAGGCAACTCTTGGTCGAGAAAGGGAGCATTTATTAATAGTGATAATTCTTACAAACAATACTTCTTCCAGGACACTGTTAAGGTGCATCTGAGACCCGCGGCCGTGGGTCAGGTGGCTGATGAATGATTGCTCCTCGTGCAGGCACCAGAGATTAGTTCCCTGTGCCCTCTGCGTCCAGTCACAGAGTGAACCTTCCAGAACAAAAATCTTCCTGCTGCTGCCATTGATCAACTCTATACCTTTTCCCGACCCCCTTTTCTCCTAGAAAATTACTGGGCATAAATCACCAAATGAAGGACATTTCCGCCCTTGCCGAGAGAATTCACTCACCTCTGCCTTTCCACTGTCCGGCACTCGGCAGTACACCTCCCCTGTAGACGGGTCATAAGAGTCTAGATAGGAGTCACAAGGTAAAAATTTCCCGTCGATGAAGTTTTCCAGCATCAGAAGCGCCCGGGTTCCAGCCATGGTCAGGGAAGTCCTGCCCTTCCCCTCGACAAGTCTCCCCTTGGCTCGTCCAGCAATTCTCCCTTCCCCGTAGTCATCTCCTCCTCCCTTCCATCCAGGCTCCGTGTCCCCATTTGCTGGTCAGTGAAAGTGGGAGGTGCCCTGACACTCAGACTATTCCAGGCTCCAAACTGAATATTTCACAGACTTCCAGTACATTATGAGAAATGGGTAATAACCTGTTTAACACCAACTTATGGGTTCGTGGCCCTTCAAAACGGTCCAAAGGCATCTGTGTGCATCATTTTACTGGGTTCACAGTATAAACTGCTCACTGCTCGAACGCTGACTCAGCGCCAGGCCCTGAAGGGAGTGCTGCAGGTGAATGTACTCATTTATTCCACACAGTGATCCTATGTGAAGTAAACAGTATTACTTCTACTTTTGTCAGAGAAACTGGGCCTCAGAGAAGTTAGCAGTGTATCCAAAGTCGCACAGTCGATAACGGATGCACCTCAGTCCTTCTGTCTCCAAACCACGTGGTTTTTCCTCACCGCATCACTGCCTCGCCACAGAGGGGCCTGAGGACAGAGTCCCATGCCCCTGCTCATCTGCTCTCTTCACCCTGGCACCTTCTGTCTGAACTGTCCCCCCGTCTCAATGCAGGGCCGCAGCAGCAGCTCATGTCTTCCTAGCTGTGCCACAGAGATGAAGATACGAGCCCAAAAGACGTGTGACATACAACACACAAGGCATACATATCCAGGACGTTGTAAGAATTTCTACAAATTGGTAAGAGAAATTAACAACCCCAAAGAAAAAATAAGCAAAGGCTATAAAAAAGCGATTCTAGCAAAGGAGACGTGACTGGCTAACGAATGCTGGAAGGATGCTCCCTTCGCTGTCAATCAAGGAATGTGGAATACAGAGAGGTGCCCTGTTTGGCCAATCAGACTGGAAAACATTTTTTTTAAAAGATTGGCCCTGAGCCAACATCTGCTGCCAATCTTCTTCTTTTTTTTTTTTAACCTTTTCTTCTTCACCCTGAAGCCCCCCAGTGCATAGTTGTATTTCTAGCTGTAGATCCTTCTGGCTCTGCTATGTGGGATGCCGCCTCAGCATGGCCTGATGAGCAGTGCCATGTCCGCGTCCAGGATCCAAACTGGTGAAACCCTGGGCCGCCGAAGTGGAGTGTGCGAACTTAACCACTCGGCCACAGCGGCCGCCCCTGGCAAGCATTTTTAAAGATCGCTAACATCCATTCTGTATTAGGCCATGGAAAACTCGTGCTCTCCCACCGCGTGATGGGAGGGTCCACAGAACTTGGGTTGGCAGTGTCAGCTTTTAGGTTTTTTTTCTTTTTTGAGGAAGATTAGCCCTGAGCTAACTGCTGCCAATCCTCCTCTTTTTGCTGAGGAAGACTGGCCCTGAGCTAACATCCCATCTTCCTCTACTTTATATGTGGGATGCCTACCGCAGCATGGTGTGCCAAGCCGTGCCATGTCCACATCTGGGATCCGAACCATGAACCCTGGGCCCACAAAGCGGAATGTGCACACTTAACCGCTGCACCACCAGGCCTGCCCGGCAGTGTCAGCTTTTAAATGCGCCTACTTTGGGCCTAACAACCCCCCCCTTCTAGGACTCTCTCCTACAGAATTACCTGATCGTGTTCGAGGAGATAAGTCCCAGCGCATCGTTTCTTATGGCAATTAAAAAACTGAAAACAATGTAAATGTCCACCAACTGGCGAGTATTGTAATTAATCGTTACACCCATGATAAGGAATATTATGTAGCCGTTCAAAGGATGTACTGTTAAGTGGAAAAAGAAAGCTGGTGAATAATACGCACCATATGGCCTCCTAGGGTGCCTGTGGGATTGAGGGGGTTGAAGGGGAGGAGCGCATGCTTCCTTTTTCTTTTTACTTCAGATAGTCTTAAATTTCTTGAATAGTTTATGGTGAACCTACATTAATATACAACTTTTGTACTAGATTTCGTTGAATGTTAGAGATCAATATTCTATATTCAATGGTCATTTGGGGGCATTTGCCAGCCATACTCCCTAGGCCCTCCCTGCTTCCACCTTACTCATTTTTCTCCGGATGATCTCCAAATTCTTGCTCATCACTGATGCAAAGCAGTGGGTTCCCCATTCCCTATGCCACCAAGCTCCTGGCCTCCCCCTGCGGATCTAAAACCTACCTACGATGCTCTGCGAACAAGAGTCCTCGTCTTCTCTCCCTTGCAGCTCAGAGCCTCGGCAGAAACTTTGGAATTACGGCTCACTTCACACAGCCAGTCCTGAGGCTCCCTCTCCTCACCCAGTAAGAAGCAGGAAAGCAGCATAAAGATGAAAATTTTTTTCTCAGCTTAAAAATTCTTAACATTTCCTCTCCACATTACATTTAAAATCTTTTATGTTAATGATTTTTGGTCGTATTGATGCACTTCTGTTGAAAATCTCTTTTGATTTGTTTTAGAAACTGGTCACATATAAATAGACATGCCTGGACAAACAAATACAATACTGCATACAGCCAGGGTCCCTTCAGTAAAACAGAAACCATGGCAGGTATTTCAAGTTTAATAAAGGGAAATGGTCCACGTGGGAAGGAGGGAAGAGCACACAAGGCCTGCTGAGATAACGCAGATATTATAACCACAAAAAGCAGCTACCATTTTTGAGACTGCGGGACAATAAGGAAGAGATGGGCTACCAGAAGCTTGAAGGAGACCCCCGCCCCCGCCCCCCACCCCGCAGCGGGTGCAGGTGCTTCTGAAGGCACGTGGGGTGCTTGATGCTGGCAGGACCGAGACCGCTGGAGGCTGGGGCAGGGGCTGCTGGCTGTTGCTGAAGAGAGGCTGACAGGGACGGAGACAGAGGGCAGGGTCTTCTCCCTCCCTCTTTCCAGCTCTTCCTTGTGCCTCTCCTCGACAGAAAGCCAGCTGACAAGGCAATGTGAGAAAAATGGTTTGCAGATCACAGCCCTGGCACCACAGAGTGAAGCACCAGGGCGTGAGCTTGAAGCTGAGGGATGAGGAGAGAATACCCAGCCCACACAGGCAGACTTTCGTAGCCTGCCTTCCTCTCCAGCTTCTAGTGCCTTCTGTGTCCCTTTAGAACCTAGGGGCCCAGCCCTCTCCCAAGGACCTCATGCCCCACAATAATGCATCGCCCTCCTTCTCCAAACCACTAACCTGAGATTTCTCTCACCCAAGCTGTTGAGAGAAAAAATCCGATTATATGACTGAAGCAACTGAGACTAACATTGATCAGAATTTGTCTTTTAATACAGTTCTTAATAATCCAAAAGATTCTAATTAGAGGACTATCTAAAGGAGATCTTTTTAAAGAAAGGAGCTTTCCCAGGACCCCGTGGGGGAGTTGCTTTCCTCACATAATAGCAGAAGAGGGTCAGAAACCAGACACAGGGTCTGACAGCTCCCAGAACTCCCCCCCCAGACGTGGGCCCAGCTTCTGAGCAGGCACAGCGTTGGTTACAGTGCATCCTCTCGCTATTTGCTGTTCCAGCTCGACCTGGTCCCTTTCGGCATAGCGTAGTGGCCCCACCCCTTCCCTCTTGGTTCCATCAGCCACTGACGTGCAACCATCGATCCTACCTGCAGGTCAAGCACAGACCGGCCTCTGGACCTGGAGCTCAGTGAGGTGGGAGGTTTCTGAGGACGCACACTCCTGTGCGAGTCTGGCCATGTCCTTGGACCCCAGACCTCAGCCCTGAGCCCTGACATGCTCCCAAGTCCTTCTCTCTAAACTGGGGATCAATCTTTCTCTTGTCCGATTCCCTTGAAAAGACATAAGACCCTCCATCAGGGCCCAGGGGTGGAGACCCTACTCCCTGGTGTTTCCACTTGCCTCACTGTACCTCTGGGTATCACCTGCCCTGAACTCTCCCGGCTGGTTCCACCTGCTCTCCAGCGCACATCCTGCTGACCTATTCTTGCCACACCCCTGGAATGTCGTTCTTACCCATGAATGAAGCACATGCCATTAGCAGCAACCAGATCTGCCCCCACCACCCCCCACCCCAGAGGGTGGATTTAGTGCCAGGTCCTGCAGAGCGAGGATAGAGAACTCAAGGCTTTGAACCCAACTGACAAAAATTATAAATGTGAGGCATCAAGAATACCAATATTCTAAGAGAACTAGTTCTAGAATATTCCAGAAGAGGATAGACTGCTTGCACTCACAGACAAAAGTTATTGCCTGTGAAACGAGTGAGGCAGTCCCTGATTTAGGGAGTGCTGACGTGTTTTGGAGCCGTGAACCCCTCAGACGGGCTGCCAGGAAGCGCAGTGCGTTGAGTGAGCAGCTCCCATATGACAGGAGCCGTGGGGAAAGACAGAGGCACCTGGTGCTGGAAGAAATCACCTTCTACCAGGGAGACAGAGTGATTAACAAAAGTCACCATATAGGAGCACGAGGCACCCTGGAGGCTCGGAAGAAACGGCAGAGAATGGAGAGCTCCCCGGGATGGAAGGAAGGGGTCAGAGGATGAGCCTCTGGAGATGGATTAGGAAGGGTGGGGAGAATGTAACAGACAAGAAGGTAATTCCAGCAGAGGAAATACCTGTTCGGGACTCCCGCCCCCCATCTTCCTTCTGCCTCCACAAGACCCTGGGCCCTGGATCGTCTCCTCCTTAGTCCTCCTCCCTCCCGTCTCTCCAGTACGATATCATATGTGACTAGTGTGGTGGACAGCGGGGGTCTGGCAGGTGAAGCTGTGTGCCGGCACCGGCTAAGAACACTGCTGAGAATCACAAAAATTAAACCCAGTTAATGGGGTATCGAACTGATGTCACAAAGGCCACAAGCTGTACAAGAGGCTAGTACTGACTCCACAGTGCCTTGATGGATTATTTGTGACTTGGGTGCTTGGGGAGGATCAGACATTAGGATCAATTAAGCCGCAGTTTTTCTGGGCCAAATGGCCAAAGATAATCGAGAAAATAGGAGACCTCACACCAAATATATTAAGTGAAAGGGATTGCTCAGCAAAGGGCACTGTTTAGAAATAACTGGCCCACAATACCCTAGAAGGAGTGTGCACTGCTATCTTTTTCTTTTCAAAAGCTACCAGAGTATCAGACCCCTTCACTCCCAACTCCCAGGCAGCAGCATATGCTCTTCAAGCCCCATCATCCCCAATTTGATCAAGGGAAAGATTCTGAGAATCGATTTTCACACAAAGGGTTTTACTTGGCCAAGGACCACTTCTTCTTATCCAAGCGATTTAACAAAACTTTTTCAAGCATATCTAGAACAGAAGAGGAGCAGACCCTACATCCCGGGCTTCTCAGTCCCTGTACGCAATTCACCAGGAACGAGGCCACAAATTTCTCTATTTCCTCATGGTGGGAGAGAACCTCGGCTGCCCACAGACCACCATCTGGGACCAAGAACAAAGAACAGACGCAGAGATTTGCAGAGATGCAGACAAACAGAAGGACCAGCTCCGTGCAGAAGAGGTAACAGAAATCTACATGATGCTCTCACAGTGCTGGGAACAAACGAGAGAGAGGGTCTCTGTGAAATGTGGGGTCAGGGGTGACATAAACGAGATTTTCAGAAGGAGACCTCATACCTTGGAGTGGATTCTTTAAGACTGAATTTC